TTCTTTCTTTCTTTCTTTCTTTCCTTTTTCTTTTTTTTTTTTTCTTTTTCTTTTAACTCGCGGATGAAGTTTAACTCCCCCCTCCTCCCCCCCCCCCAAAAAAAAAAAGAAATATAGGAAGAAAGAAAGACAGAAAGAAGCGGGCCGTGCCGTGCCGGCTCCGGGGGGTTCCGTGCTTTTCTCCCTTCCTCTTCCCTTCCCGTTCCCCTTCCCCGGGCTCAGCTCTGCGATGGGCTCCCAGCCGGGGGTCGCAGAAAAGCTCCCACCCCGACCCGCAGCTGCGAATGGAAAAGAAGGGGAACCCCCCCCCCCCCTCCCCCCCGCTCCGTAAAGCCGCATCTCTGGGCTTCGCGTTCCCGAAACGAGACGGAGGGCTTCGCAGAGCAGCGGTCCGAAGGGCCGGCACAAAGACGCTGCTTTGCGAGGAAAGTTAAAGCGGGGTTTGATTTCCTCTGCACAGGGCGACGCATTCCCTCCGCATTCTTCCCCGCATTCCACCCCGGAGCTCGGGAAGGATCAAATTGTCCATCTGTGCGCTATTGCTAATGCTCCTGGATCCGATTTCTCGTGCCCGTAAAGCTTTTACAGGCCTGCTACCTTCGGGCTGTCGGAGCGGGTTGTTATCCAGCAAACAACCCCCGGCTCTGCCTTTCCTTTCCTGTTAATACACACGCAGCAGTCTCAAATAACTTCCCCTCAAAGCCTCCTGTTTTCTTTTAGCAAACAGCATTTCCTGCTCTTTTTAAAGTCGGTGTTTTCATCCCGTCCCTGAAGCAGACAGAAAACATTTGGGGATCGCGATTAAAGCAGCGATTTGGGATCGCCGGCCGTCGGTTTCGTTGGGACGGAGCGGGGCCGAAACGCGAGTTTCTGCTGCGTGACATCATTCGTTCTCTCTGCGTGTGATTATTATGGGTTTAATCCAATGCATTTATGGAGGAAAAGGGAGAAATTGGATCTATTCTTTCCTCGTGTCGGCTTTTTTTTTCTCCTTTTTTTTTTTCCTTTTTTCTTTTTGGCATCCAGAGGTGGGGCTGCGGTTGGGGGGGGGAATTGATGGGGCGATGCTGAGGGCCCGGACCCCCCCCACCCCTCCCCGCCTCCCCGTTCTGCCCCAAAGCCCCGTGGCGCAGCAGAGGAGGGGAGAGGGGGGCGGCTCCGAGCGCGTTAAACCTCCGCTAAACCAACTCCGGATCCCGACACAACCGGGACAACGGAACCGACCCCAACCCCAGCGGGGAGCTCTCCTCCTCCTCCTCCTCCTCCTCCTCCCCCCCCTCCCCCCCCTCCCCCTCCTCCCCCCCCCCGCATCTGCTGCGCGCAACCTTTCGTGCGGGGCCGTCCGCTGTCCTTAGAGATCCTCCAAGCTATAGCCCCGGAATTTGAGGCTGGGGGGCACCGGAATGGCGTTGCCTCCCACGTGCCATCTCCACAGCGGGTGGGTTTTGGAGAGGGCCCAGGAGTTTTTGCCCCCCAGGGAGGAGGCAGGGCACAGATCCCCGTCTTCCCCCACGACCAAGGAGGGAATACACGGGAAGTTGCCCATGAGGCTGAAGGAATTCCGAGGCGGGGTTGGCCCGGCGCTGCCGAGGCGTTTGCAATGAGTGTTTCCCTTTTTGGCATTCCTCCTTTGAGTCTTTTGTGGCCTCCCTTTGGAGGAGCTCTGTTGCCTTTCTGCCTCAGCGCCTCTGGCAAGGCGTCTGCGCTTGGCATTCCTTTCCGAGCCATTGCCTCTCAAAGCTTTGTTTGACAAGGTGCCGGGGCTCTCTGCTCTTTTGGAGCCGGGGGATTTGAGCTCTGCAGCTTTGCAGGGCTCCGTCCTCCCTCCGTGCCGCAAACTTTTCCCGTCCACGTTGAACCCTTTGGCGTAGCACCACAGCTTGGACTGCCGGATCAGGCGGTCGAAGTGCTCCCGCCGGGGCTCCGCCGCTTCCCCGGGGGGGTCCGGACCGAGGCCTCCAGCCAGCGCCGGAGATGGGGCCGGGGGCTCCGGGGGCGGCCCTTGGGAAGCCGCCGGCCCGGCTGCGGCACCGCTCTGCCTCTCCGCTCGGTCGCCGGGGCCTAACGAGGCTCTATTGTTCGAGGCATCTTTGTGCAAATCCTTTCCTTTGGCGCAGGGCTCCGCGCCCCCAAAGCCGCCCTCCTTTTGTGGCGGGTCCCCCCCGGGGGTGCCGCTCGGGGAGGGGGGGGGAGAGGAGGAGGAGGAAGAAGAGGAGGAGGAAGAAGTGGAGGCCTCCTGCTTCGCGTACGGCTCCGGCTGTGCCCCCGAGCCCAGGGTCGGAGCCGAGCTCAAACTTTCCGAAGTTGACGCTCGCAAAGTCCTGGCCCAGAGCTGCTGAGAGAGGAAGAGGAGGTCGGGCTCTGCCCGCAGCGCTTTGCCCGCACCCGGGGGGGGTTCCGACGGCCGCTCGTCGCCGAGGGGCTCCCGGGGGGGCTGCGGCTGGAAGCGGGGCAGAGCCGCCTGCCTGTACCGGGTGCTTTGCACCGAGTCCCCGCTGCACAGCGAGCTGCTCTCCGACTCCGAGGAGCTGCCCTCCTCGCTGCTGCACGACGTGTCCCCTTCCTCCTCCTCCTCCTCCTCCGACGAGTCGCTGGAGGTGGCGGGGCTGGACCCCCCGAAGTCCAGGCTGGAGTCCGAGTCGCTGGAATACCCGGCCGAGGTGCCCTGCCGCTTGCAACCGGGAAAGGCGGACGAGCGGCTTTTCCTCCCCCCCGAGGGGCCCTTCTCGGCCTGGAAGAGCCCTTTGGCGCAGCGGGGGCCGAGGCCGGGGTGGGGGGCGGGGGCTGCGGGGTGAAGCAGCGCCAGGTCCCGGGGATACGCGCCCAGCGCCCCGGCCAGCAGCCCCCCGCTCTCGGGCAGAGCGCAGCCCCTGCGACCCCGCGGGGCCCTGTCGAGGCCGGGGCAGTCCCGAGGGAAGGGCTGCGGGAGGAGAGCCGCGGGCGGCGGGCGCGGCTTGAGGCCGGGGGGCAGCTTGGGGCGGGCGGGGGTCGGGGACGAGCAGCAGCCGCCGGCTCTGCAGGACGGCAGCAATTGGGGCCGGGGGCAGGAGAAAAGCTCCCCGGGGTCCGGCAGCAGCAGCTGCTCCCTCCTCTTGCTTTTCCTCTTCCTCTTCCTCCGCCGGGGGCTGAGGCTCTTGCAGGAGGTGCAGAGAGCCTCCAGGTCCGCTTTGGAGATGAGCGAGCACTTCACGGCGCGGGTGGGCACCGAGTTGATGGCTTTGAGGGTGCGGAGCTCGTGGAGATCGCAGCGGCGGCTCTTGATCTTTAAGGTTTCCATCTTCTTGCTGATGGTGGTCCTGGGGATATCCTTGAACAGGTCGCTGAGGACCTGGGCCAGAGCAAACATCTGAGTGCCATTGATCTGTAAGTATCCCAAGTTTATCCCTTCGATTTCTTGATAGCCGGCGTGGAAATGCCCCGGCCCGGCGTCCCCATTGTAATCCATGGTGGCTGGAACAATCCCGAAGGTCCCTTCGCAGGTCAGGAACATTTTGCAAAGAGCGTTTACTTTGTCTCTTTCAAAGGGGGCATTGAAAGTAAGGACATATTTGTTTCCACTCCGTGATCACACATCGCTGCCCCTCCGGAGAGGTGGGGGAGGGAGCGGGGGAAAAAAAAAACGGAAAAAAAACCCCCGCCCGCCCCCCCGGGGGGCAAGCCAAAGCAGTCGATCGCCCCTTCAAACGTTGCAGTCAACGGTGTGCAGCATCTT